AATGCATTACTATTATTTCAAATTGGCGTGATTCCCACGATACTAAGACATTCCAAAATGGTAAACAAACGATTTATTATTACCACCACCACTTGACCAAGACGAAGAGACTAAAACAGATTCACAACTTCAAATTGAATGATTGACAGTATTCTAAATAGACTAAAGAGAATGGCGGTCATTATCAATCTCAATCGCTAGTTGTAATTCATAATGCGTTGTTAAGATGTCAATCAAAATACTCTGGAATGCATTAGCAGAATTAGATTTTGTGATGAATGAAAACCGTCTAGTGTTAAGATAAAGGAATTATATTAGTGATGATTTCCATTCGCCTTTAAGATAAGGAAATTGGAATGATAGAGAAGAAAATCAATTTTATTTAAATGGCATTGTCTTTTTAATTTCCTGGTGGAGAAAAATCCTTTTTTTTATATCATAGGTTGGTAAACGAGCAAACGAATTACCTGATGGTAAGCAATCAGCGTCGCCCAGGGACACCCGCACCGATGGAGGAGTTACGAGTGCGTTGTCGACCTTTTGGGAATTAGGGATTTGAAGATTTTGGGACAGGGAACAGATTGGGGCAGGGGAAGGATTGGGCCTCCGGTAACGTCACTCACACGGTGACACAACTCTTTTGTTATTTCACGCCGGTTTTCTGTGAGGCCGTGGTATCACTCCGGTCGAGCCGACCCATTCGTGCCAATTAATGGCTCTCCCACACTTAGCTGTTTGTTTTGTGAGGGGAATATCATCAAATGACTTCTCTGGCCCGGGATAAAAAAGAGTGTCAGGCTCATACTGACTAAAAACTCCCGTTCTTTATTGCACTGGGCCTGAAACCCTGGCTGAACATCGGCCCTTTTGGGCCCCATTTGTGGTGGTCTATTGGCTCTTTGATACATGCGCATCTTAAGGTTTGCATGATAATAATTCACATAACACTTAAATTATGTTTTGTTACAAATAATGGTGTATTATTCACAAGAAAACTTCTATAGATGAACCAATTTTAATAGTATCAACAAATGTTTTTCTCCAAAGGTGTAGGCAAATAAATGTTCTTGCAATTTTTGCTAATTATTATTAGGAGTAGCAGTGGTGAAACATTTACATGAGAATAAGAAGACACTACGCTGTTAAAGATATTTGCAACCATAAATTTAAAAAATGTAACCTTTGATAGTCTTCTCCTGTACAAATAATGCTTAAAAAGACATTTTTCATGGTATATGTCGGCAATCGAGCACGTTGATTACCTGATGGTAAGCAATCAGCGCCACCCATATACAACCGCAGCACTAAAGGAGTTACGAGTGAGTTGTCGGCGTTTTAGGGATAGGGATATTTAAGGATTGGGAAGAGATGGGGGAGAGGGAAGGATTTTGCCTCCGGCTACACCGAAAATGGATCATCGTGTACACATTCAAACTTTTTAAAACTGTCTCGGTGATATAGACAGACTAGGCAGGTTCCGAATTCAATCTGTGATTGGGTAAACTAACTTCATAATAATGGAACCTTACATGTCTGGAATGGAGATATGCTGTTCGTAAAATATTACACAGGGGAATATAATTCCTGTGTCTTGATATTTTTAATTGTCCTACTACCTATGAAGCAGGAATCTACAGAAAAGAAAGGAAGGAGGGATAGAAAATTCGAATTTTATTTTATAGGTATGTAGGTAGGTCGGTATGTTAAACGAGCTTATAGATCACCTGATGATAAGCAATTGGCAATGTCCTTAAACAAAGTCATACCATAGCGTTGTAAAAGTAACAAGAAATCCTGGAGAGCCAACAATTAGATCTATTAAGAAAACTGGATAACATGCAATGCAACTTTAAAGAAATGTTTAAATGTTTAATATTATACACTGGTGGCATTAAATCTGAATATCCATTATCTGCCAGATAAATTTTGAATCTAAATTTATCGGGCACCCATAATGTGGGTGGTGAAATAAGTAAAAAAATCTGCGGTTGCTGGAAAAACAGGAATACGAACTAAGTTTTTGTTTTTTATATGACCACCCCTGGACAGTCGTGAAACCAAAGGATTTACATTAAGTGCATTGTCAGCATCTTGTGGCTTGTTAAGGATTTGATGATAGAGAATGGGAGAGGGAGAAGGATGGGGCATTTGGTAACTTCAATCACACGGCGAATAACGTGTTTCTTCTTTTCTCCTTCTGAAAGCGAGTCGATACACTTTAACGGTAATGGTCATACCTAAAGAAGCTGTATATGTTTATGCTGTGCACAATTCTATGTGAAATATCTATAAGTAATTATTGTTTAATCAAAAACAATGTGGCCTTGTCTTGTGTATTTCTTTAAACTCCTGATAAACTTGCTGGATAAGGTAAGGTTTTTAAGCAACTGGGGCGATACACTTTTATCTATATTTAATACTTGTATATTATATGGTTCTCGTATTATCAGCCATAGAACGCTAACTGCTAAACATTGAACAATTTATTTTTACTTCTTTCCTCGCGAAGGCCTTTTGGCCTTTACTGCAGTAATGCACTTATAGGCCCTTATTTTTATGAATATAAAAATCTTTTAGCCGACTGACTGCAATTTGCTTTTAGCCGACAGAAATTATTTATAAAAATAGTAAAACATATTATGTTGTGTATGCTGCCTCGTTATCTCTTTCGCTGGTCAGGTGCGACTACAGTGCTAGATAGCACCAGCAGCACCGGATTCGATTCCTATTTTCGACTGTGTATTGATGAGAATCTGCGGACATTCTTTTTTTTTGTTTATAATAGCAAGGAGTATGGCACTGTCACATAACATAAAAAGAGGGGGTCACACTGTATAATTTTAATTTAATTTTAAATAAGTACAGTTATACACTGCAGACTAAACCTATTCACCAATCAGCACAGATTTATACTACAATGTACATAAATCTAATAATAATACACCAGTCGTGGTGGCTCGGAGGTTAAGGAGCCCGCTTCTCATGCATGAGGGTGTGGGTTCAAAACCTGGCAAGTACCAATGTGACTTTTTCCAAGTTATACATATGTACTTTCTATGATTATTTAGACACCATATGAGCAAGCGTGGTGATTAATGCTCTAACCTTCTCCGTATGAGAAGAGGCCTTTGCTCAGCAGTGGGCACCTATAGATGATGATGATGATGACATAAATCTGAAGTTCAATTATTGTTGTAGACAATATTCAATATACTTACTTAGTTAATATTTTTTGTTAGAGACAGTCGAGGTGAATTAATACAGAAAAGTTACTAAATGACCACATGCAGAAAATTATAATTTACACAAACAAACTTAAATTACATTCTAAATAATGGCATATTTGACATTAAGTACATATAATAATAATATGTTCATTATCTACCATAAGTGCCTATTACTAAAGGTGTAACGATAAAGAAAATATTGATGTTGATATACAGAGCTGTAATGTCGGACTGTTATTTCAAGTCCATGCGGCGTAAGAAATCACCTTGTGAGATAAGACTGCCTATTGTTAATTTCCTACTAATATGTAATAACGTGAAAGTTTGTGAGGATATACTGAAATGAATGATTTTGAAAAAAAAAACAAAAAACATTTCAGCATGTAGCTCCATAGTAGAAATGTAATTGTGTAAGTGCACATTTCAAAGATACTTAACACAACATACTTTGGAGCATATACTAATGAGTTTAAGGAGTACTTTTTTGTTAGGTCACCACTTGGTCAGTCGATGTTGATGCTCAATACTGGGTCTGAAGGTGTAGAATCAAACCTGAAGATCCCAAGAAAAGTTTTAGCTAATGCTATCCAACAAATGACCAGAAGGAAGTCTCCTGGCCATGATGGTCTTAGTTATTGCGCATCTGCAAGATGCTTTAATTCTTTATGTATTAGCCACTCTTACTTGCTGGAACAGTAGATGAAAACTATTGCTGTGCTTAAAATGAAAAAATAAATCGGGAGATATGTCAGACAAAAATAATTATAAATAGGCCAATATCGACTGTGGTGGCGAAGGTGTTTAACAGCGTGCTGGACGCACCAATGGCCAAATCTATAGTTCTGCATGACCATCAACTTGGTCACAACTGTCCGCGGAGAGTGCCATATCATGTCTGAAGCATGCTGTCAGGTATTATACCCACAGGGGCACACCTGTATATGTCAGTTTCCTCGATTTGAGCAAAGCTTTAATTGATCTAGTCTGTTTCGATATACTGTGGATAAAGTTACAAGACGTAGGACTACCATCTCAACTTGTAAATAACTTGCATTACTGGCATAGCAATTAATGTAATAGTGTACGGTGGGCCAGTACACTTTCAGATCCATATAAATTGTTATGTGGGGTGTGACTGAATGGCCAGAGTTATCCCCAGTTTTCAGTTTTTTTTTTATTAATGCCCTAATCCAGCAGCTCAGCAGCCAATATGTCACATATGTAGATGATGTATGTGAAAACATTTTTTTTTGTTGAGTGCCTTTGTTTGTCACATTAGGCATGATCGGTAAACGTGCAGACGCATTACCTGATTGTAAGCACTCGGCACCTCCTTGGTCATTGTAATACCGAAGGAGTTACTACAAGTGTGTTGCCGGCCTCTTGTAAATAGTTGAGGGGAGCGGAGAGAGGGATTGGGCTTCCTGTAATCTCGCTAAAATTGCGAAATAAAACGTAATTTCTGTGACGTTGTGGTATCACTCCGGTCGAGCCGGACCATTCATGCTGAAGCAGGACTCTACCACATTTGCTATTGATTCCATAAAAAATCGACGAACAAACAGACAATTTAACAAATTATTGCGAATCATAATGATTATAGTACCTACAGATCATGATAGCAAATATGTAGGTATGCTAAGAAAAAGTACCGCATGGAGTCAAGGGTCACGGTAGATAGACTAAAATTACACGCAATGATAAAGAATGCAAAACATTTTTAAGTAGATAATCGAGTGCATTCAGGAACGGGATGCGCTAGCTGTATAAAAAGCGTACCAAGCCTCCCATCCGTACAGTTGTCAGCGGTAGAGGCAACCATGAAGACTGTCTTAGTACTTGCCGGGCTCGTCGCCCTGGTGATGGGCAGCGCCGTCCCACACCATCATGACATCAAACTGAAGCCTGGTAAGAATCCTTTTTTATTATACATTTAATTTAAATTTCTATTTTTTTAGATGTTTTAAATTTTTGCCCGACACTAGAAAATTCTCCTTTTTTTATTCGGTTTAAGTTTAGGATATGTTAGTTGTTCATATGAAATATAACACAAACTGTTTGCCTGTTGTGTTACAAGTCCCTTAGAGTGGGTACCATTGGAAGCTTCATGCTAGTAAGAGGAAAAACCAAGGACAAAATCTTTTTCAAATTGAGACGCAAGCGAGCACTTATCCAACAAAACAATATTTTAAAATATTGTGAATTTTATTAATAACAATATATTAACACCCCATGACTACAACTTAGATGTATTATTTAAAGAAATATTCTGTATCTTTACAGTGGAACCTCAATTCGTGGAGTACCAGAAGAAGATTTTGGCTCTTTTCGAGCATTCCAAGCAGCTGGAGTACCATGCCGACTACTACAAAGTTGGCAAGGACTATGACATCGAAGCCAACATCCAGAACTACTCGGTAAGTTACATGTAAAATGGTGAACTATAGAAAGTTAAATCACGAAATTGTGCAACGTACCTTATTAACATATTAATTTGAATGTTCCAGAACAAACAAGCCGTCGACGAGTTCTTGCTGCTGTATAGAACTGGAACTCTGCCGAAATATTACCCGTTTTCCATTTTCTACCAACGAATGAGGGATGAAGCCATCGCTCTATTCCACGTCTTGTACTTTGCAAAGGACTTCGATACCTTCTACAAAACTGCATGCTGGGCTAAGGTCTACATGAACGAGGAGCAGTTCTTTTATGCCTACTACATCGCTATCGTCCAAAGAAAAGATACTACTGGCATTGTCCTCCCGGCACCCTATGAAGTCTACCCACAGTTGTTCATGAACAAAGACGTTCAGTCAAGGATGAACTATGTTAAGATGCAAAATGGCCTTTTAAATGAGAAGCTTGCCGCTCAATACGGTATGGTTAAAGAAAACAGCAACTACGTCTTCTACGCAAACTACTCCAACTCTTTGAGTTATCCAAACAAGGAACAGAAACTGTCGTACTTCACTGAAGATATCGGCTTGAACTCTTACTACTTCTACTTCCACTCACAAATGCCTTTCTGGTGGAAGTCTGAGAAGTTGAGCGTATTGAAGGATCGTCTCGGAGAAGTCTTCTTCTACTACTACCAACAACTTCTGGCGCGTTACTATTTGGAACGCCTCCCTCACGGCTTGGGTGAAATTCCTGAATTCTCGTGGTACTCCAACTTCAAATCTGGATACTACCCTCAATTGTACTCAGTTTTGGCTCCTTACGCACAAAGAAGCAACGATTACAAAATCCACAATGAAAAGAATTACGAATACATTCGTTTCCTGGATACTTACGAGAAGACTTTCTTCCAATTCTTGCAGAAGGGAGAATTTAAGACTGTAAGTATGATAAATATTTAGTTTTAATTTTTTTATATTCTTATAATCTTAACTTGGTTGGTATAACAACATATTCTTTTATCATTTCAGCCCGAGAAGGAAATAAACTACGTCGGCAACTACTGGCACATGAACTCAGACTTATACGCTGAGAAGAGTGACAAGGACCTGCACCAGTACTCTTACGAAATCATTGCTCGTCATGTCCTTGGTGCTAGCCCCAAGCCGTTCGACAAGTAAGTGCTTTATTTGGAAACAAAACCAGATACATAAAAATATAATAATCCAACTTTATTAGTAAATGCTTCCGTCGTAAAACTGAATTATGTATGATATTTGACCAACTGTTAATTGTTTGTTCTAGGTACACCTTCATGCCATCCGCTTTGGACTTCTACCAGACTTCTCTTCGTGACCCTGCATTCTACCAGCTCTACCAGAGAATCATCGATTACCTTATTGACTACAAGCAGTATGTGAAACCATACGATCATAATGATCTTCACTTTGTGGGTGTTAAGATCAACGACGTTCAAGTCAGCGAATTGATCACCTACTTCGACTACTTCGACTTCAATGCCACTAACAGTGTCTTCTACAATAAGGAGGAACTCAAATCCTATCCTATGAACTACTTAGTCCGCCAACCTCGTCTCAACCACAAACCTTTCAGCGTTAAACTTGACGTTAAGTCTGATGTAGCATCAGATGCCGTCTTCAAGATCTTCATTGGACCTAAATACCACGCTAACGGCTACCCAGTTAACATCGAGGACGACTGGATGAAATTCTACGAACTGGACTGGTTCGTGCAGAAGCTGGTTCCTGGTGAAAACAAGATCGAGCGCAAATCAAGCGAGTTTGTACTCTTCAAGGATGACTCTGTTCCTATCAACGAGATCTACGAGTTTCTAGACCAAGGAAAGGTGCCGTATGACATGTCTGTGCAGCCCGACAACATGCCAAGGAGGCTGATGCTGCCTAAGGGTACCCTTGGAGGTTATCCATTCCAGCTGTTTGTGTTCGTCTACCCATACAACAGTGTCAAGAAGGGAGAGAATGTATTTGAGAGTTACATCTTGGACAACAAACCCTTCGGTTATCCATTCGACCGCCCCGTGCGCGAGGCTTACTTCAGACAACCTAATGTCTTCTTCAAGGATGTCAGGATCTACCACAAGGACGCATACTACCCTTATGAACTTAACGTTCCTTCATACTTCGTACAGAAGAAGATGTAAATAGCTAAATACTCGTAGCTACGATCATTTTTCTGAGATAGAAACGTACAAAGAATGTGAATAAAATATGTAATACGATATTTATAATGTAGTGTATGTATGTATGTATAGATGACATAAAAATAAATATATATAAAAACAACGATTTTTTTATTTCACCAAATAGACAGTTCGATATGTTTCAAAGTACAAAAAACGATATGTAATAATTTCTGCTTTCTTTAAAAAACTTTCAGGCACATTTATCTACAATTTCACTTACACATCACACTCATTCTTGGAATAACAATTTGTGGATCAAACAAAGCATGCCCAACGATAGGGACAATCAAGAAGCCAAAAGATGATTTACTTGCCTTTAAAAGAAACACATGATCACACACAGAAAGACATCACTCCATTTTGCAACGTTAAATTTTGTGAAACTATTCAACGTAATCCCGCTGCCTACTTAACATTGTGACTATTTCTAAATAGAAATACTTTCATTTCAAATACACTTAGTATTTGAAAACCAACGTTAAACAATGAAGGCAAACATTATGATGAAACCTAGACTTATAATTTCTATTTGTAAGTATGAAATGATTAATTCGCTTTGACCAAGCGTGGTGATTAATGCTCTAACCATTTTTGTGAGAGACGGCTTTTACTCAGCAGTGGGTGAGCTGATGATGTGTTTTTTACGAATATAGAACCAAAACTAAATAAAAACAAAATTATATGGTATAAACTTCATTTTTGCTATGTTTGCTTGCGAAGGTTCCAAGAAACTAGACCTATATGGATTCTTGTTAATTTGGCTGAAGATGGAAATTCAGGAAACTGTTACTTGTCTGGCAATAAAAAATCGGGGTGGTCTTTAGTCAGTAAAAGTCGGAATTTTCCTTAAGCCATTTGATGATTAAAAAAAACACGCAGTGACTGATTATTCTTTTTACCTTCCTAATCCTTCGTCTACCCCCCTGGAGCAATCAAAGCGTCGTATGAGTGAAATTATTGGAGGGCAAATACTTCCTCTCCCCAATTTGGGGATTGGGGAACATCTCCGAATCCCTCATCATAAAAAAGTACAAAACAGAAACAATTTACAAAAATCGTAACCACTTAAGAAAAACATGACTAACAAAATAGAAGTAAATAACATGAGAAACGATAAAGATAAGATTAGGATGGTTTATATAAATGATGCTGCAATACATAGATATATTCACATCATTGACAACCCACACAATGGCTTTGGTCCGAAATATTCTAATCTTCACTGTGTTGGTGAGTCGTTTATTGTCTAATATAACTTACATTATTTCAATATAGTGAGGTAGGATTATGAGGAAGAGAAAGTAAAGGAGAGCTTCTCCTGGGGTCACAAAAGTGAATTTTCATACTCAAAACATATACAATACCGCCGACGTATCTTGGCGAGTCTGAAGTTAGCCGATTAGCTGCGCAATACACAATTTTGCTCCAAAAAGATCCATTGCGCAGACAAACTGCTAACTTCAGACTCGCCAAGGTACTGCACCTACATTATCCAAATGTCAGTTACAAGTGTTTAGTTAGACGTGCTTGTTATTTATTACATTACAAACAAAATATCATTTATCGGTGTGGTAACGATTTGTATAAGTCGATACTACATATTTTGACGAATTTTTTTTGAACCATAATTTTGTTCAAATCATATTGCATCGCCATTACGCTAGTTAATTTGTACTAACATTATTTATATTTGTATTTATTATAGGAAGCCAAGATAATGAGAAAGTTTGATATAAATATATTAGTTTTATTAATTATATGGCCAATAAGAATACCTGTAGTAATATTTAGAACACGAAAGTTTTCATTTTTCATTTAAATCGAAAAGGCTCTGAAACTACTCGACCAATTTAACTTAGCCAACATAGGCGATAAACTACACTAGTGAAACCGTGAGGTAAAGCGAGTTAAAGATAAATAATATTCATCTACCTACTAACTGTTTACAGTGTTTTTAGAGAAAAACAATAAATTATTATTTCTTTACAGTTGAGCCTCACTGGGGTTTTATCTCAAGAAATAACGGATCAATGGGTGACCAACGAGGAGGTACTGGAGACTCAGGACTTTGATGACTCCCGTTCAACTATTATTCCTTATTGTAACTTTAGAATAAGACCTTTGCGTCGTTGCTTTGACTGTTATACAAGATTATTTTGTACACCATTTTTTGGAATTACAAATGCTTGCCTGGCTCGAGGGCTACCTTACTGTAATAATGGGGAATGTTCACGTGTACCTTCTGATGGCTGTTTCTAAATAATAATAAATCGTGTTTAAGTAACAAGTTAGCTTTATTTTATGTTAAAAATTAAATAAATTTTAAATATTAAATTAGTGTATCCATTTCTGGAGAGAGGAGCGAAAATAGATGGATTAATAATAAGAAAAGTGGCAAAAAAACGTTTTGGGATCTATTATAATAGAATGTATGGAAAGGATTTTTTATTTTTAAAGCGCAGCCTGCGTTTGACAATTATGACGCCTGGTGGTGAACGATGATGTGATCTAAGGAGGAAGTCTTTGGAAAACCGCTTTCGTTATATTATCTACATTAAAATATACACTCCTGGTAATATATACCTACATATGTACACTCTCTAGATGATAACATTGTCACGATGTTATACGTTCATGTAGATACATAAGGGTATGATAATGTGAACGTCACACAGTATGCATTATTAAAAAAAATATAATTTATTCCTGATCAAGTTTATTGATTTTAGATTGAGAAGACATTGTAAATTACTTCCATTTTTAATCTTAGCTATTGTTGTTGTACTATTAAAGTTCTAACAAGTTATAGTTTAAGAATGATGCTAAAAGTAATATCTTGGTGGCCCTGAAGTTTTTTTTCCATTTGTTCATGCTCGAGGGTGTAGGGCAGGCACGAAACCTTATTCCTAAAAAGCGAGCAACGCACTGGTAACTCCTCCGGGCGTCCTCTTGCAGATTTCCATGGGTTTCACTGATTGCTTCCGTCTTCAGGTATAATCTGATCTATCACTAGAAAAAATTAGAAATACCAAAGGAAACCAATTTCCTCATTTTTTTGTTAAATATTTATTTAATGTGAATCATGATCAATGTATTTCTTTTTATCTCAAACAAGCCAGCTGACAGATACTTGTCGAAATATTTTGATAAGAATTTTAATCTTATCTGATCTGATTTACGTGCATCGCAGTAGAGTCATCTCCTAAATTATGTGGGAGTATGTACATACACAACTTCGCTGTGAATCAACTAGTTTGTAAGGCATTTATAGTCTATAGTCTTTAAGGCAAGGCATATGTACTGAAATTCTTCAAGATTTTCGCTTGTTGTGTCCTTTGCTATATGTTTGGCTGATAATTCGAAAGTAAAAGTAAAAAAATACCTAATGCGGACACTGTTTCTTTTTAAAGTCAGGTCAGTCCTTTGGTAAAGAAACAGAGTCGAAGTCAAAATTATCAATCATCAACGAGTCCCTTCAATAGTTCGCACCTGATTATTTTCTGAAATATTTATTCTTTTGTAATCATACCCAGGAGACAAAATTTTCGTATTAGTCAAAAGTAAAAAAAAAATACTCAAAAGTCAAAAGTTCACTAAAGTATCACATTGCACAGTTTGCGCATTCACATATGTACAGACCCGGAACAATAATATGTGAATCAGGCAAGGAGTTGTTCCGTCCGATAATCGTACTTGATCTTGATCGTACCCGCTCACCTATCCACTGCGACGACCATGCAGGCAAAAGTTTGATACATAATATTAGTATAATTGAGTAAGTAAGTAGTGGCTTCCCACTTGTCCTCCACGGCGAACAAGAACAACCACCCTGACGATGTCGTCGGTCCACTTAGCGGGAGGCCTGCCTTCGTTACATTTTTCCAGTCCGTGGTCCCCAATTCCCTTCAAGTAACTTGGCTTGCCCATTGCCATTTCAACCTGCAGATTATATACGAGCTATGTCGGTAACTTAAAGAATAACGAATATTATTTCAGGATTACCAAATTAATTTTAGTTAATCTGATTGATGTCTACCACCTGCAGTAGGTGCCTGTAATACAGAAAATGACAACTAGTTTTAATGGAATCCAATACATTTGAAATTGGTGTACGACATACATAGCATACATAACTGTCTAGCTATGTAATAACAAAATATACAACAGATTATTAAATTAGTAAATATAACAACTTGTTGGTCATTAACATCAATAGCTTGCAATAATCTATATCGTAATCTAGGCAATAAACTATTCTTCATTCAGGTGGTCTTTAAGATGAGACACGTACACAATCGTAAAATCTGTTTTCACTCTCTCAAGAAAAGCGAAAACTGATTCCAAAGTTAAACAGCTTGATGAAACTGTATAAACTATAACATCTGAATATCATATTCATTCAACAATGCGGTACAGTTTTAATATAAAAAATGGATCATCCTGATGTGTGTCACATTTTGCAGTGGTTGTGACGAGATGAAGGCTGTCCTTATATTGGCAGGTTTTATGACCTTGACAAAGGCAGGAGGCCTTCCTCATGAAAATCTTAAGATGAAGAGCGGTAAGTTTATTCAATCGTTTAATTATATAAAGTTTTCGATTAGTAAGCAGAAAAATTCAAGCAATAATTGCTGGTTTCTTGATTTACGGTTTTAAAAGGCATTGATATCAGTATGTTCGGGTATAATTTTTTGATACAAGAATACAATACAATAATATATTACAAGTTTCTTGTCATTTTATTAACATATGAATTGTTATATAAATTTGCGAATACTCATATCTTCCACAGACATTTATTACACCCTTTTTACCAGTATTGATTAGAGCCTTCTGTAAGGTGACCGTATTGGCAATTTCATACTACGTATGGACTGTTTTATTCGGTATACTGAAATGGTTAATGAATCTGTGTACGACTCAAAAATCTCATTCACTAAAGACGCAATACTACGGCTTGTGGGTCGTTATAAATTTACTATAGTGCAACTCTATCAAAAGTAAAAATGTTTATTTCAGTGGAAGAGCCATTTATTGGGCGTCAAAAGAAAATTTTAGCCCTTTTTGAACATTCAGAACAATTAAATCAACAATCTGAATACTATCAACTTGGCAAATATTACAACATTGAGTCTAACATCGCCAATTATATCGTAAGTATTAAGGATACTAAAATATGTATCATGTCTATTCTATGCCAATTTTTTCAATAAACAGCTTAATCAGTTTAAGTAGAAATTCAACTTGAAGTTCACAATAAACTAACATTAAATTTTCTTAATATCATGAATTTTACAGAATAAAGATGCTGTTAAGGAATTTTTGATATTATTTAAAGCCGGTTTTCTGCCAAAGTACCACAAATTCTCTGTTTTTTATGAAAAAATGAGGAATGAAGCCATCGCTATGTTTTACATCATGTACTACGCTAAAGATTTCGATACCTTCTATAAAACTGCATCCTGGGCCAAAATTAACACAAATGAAGAACAGTTCTTATATGCCTTCTACATTGCTGTGGTTCAGAGACCCGACACTACTGGTATCGTTCTCCCAGCACCCTATGAGGTCTACCCGCAGTTTTTCTTTAATAAAGAAGTTTTATTAAGAATGTACCGAACCAAAATGCAGGGCGGGGTGTACAATGCTGTGACTGCAGTCAATTACGGAGTTGTAAAAGAGAATAACTCTTACATATACTACGCTAATTATTCTAACGGCTTAACTTACCCAAACCAGGAACAAAAGCTGTCATACTACACTGAAGACATCGGATTAAACTCATATTACTACTACTTCCATACACATATGCCTTTCTGGTGGAAAATTGATAAATTGAGTATCCTAAAGAATCGGACTGGTGAATTTTTCTTCTACTACTATCAACAACTTTTAGCCCGTTATTATTTGGAGCGTCTTACAAATGGCTTAGGTGAAATTCCTGACTTCTCATGGTATTCCAAATTCGAAACTGGATACTACCCACAGTTGACAGGAAACTTTTTGCCTTTTACCCAAAGAAGTAACGATTATGAAATCCATAATGAAAATACCTACGAATACATCAGATTTTTAGATACCTATGAGAAAACATTTTCCCAATTTGTGCAGCGAATAGAATTCAAATCTGTAAGTAGTAAAATAGTAATAACAAAGTACCTTAGTAATCACACTTTTATATGCTTGACTTCTCTCCGGTCATGTCGGTCTGTCATCTCATGGAGTTCACTCGATAGATGCGTATTTGGATTTCTAGTTAGACAGACTAGAAACTAATTGAAATCTATTAATTATATTAATTATACTATTTATTAATTTTTTCAGCCTGAGAAAAAACTGAACTTCATTGGCAATTACTGGCACATGAAATACAATTTAAATGACGACAAAATTAATAAGGAGCTGCACCAGTATTCCTATGAAATCATCGCTCGTCACGTCCTTGGTGCTAGTCCCAAGCCTGTTGCTAAGTAAGAAATACGTTATTTCTTGCACCGACTTCTTCTATTAAAACGAATCTGTTTTAACATACATTTGTTTCTACTCTTGTAATGAAGTAAGAAAATTGTATATTTACTCAGTTGAGATCATTCAAGCAAATTAATATATTACTATGTATTATAGGTTTGTTAATCTAGTAAATTACGTTTGATTATCATTTCACTTAATTGGGATTTTTCTGTTACAGATATGATTTTATGCCTACTGCTCTAGATTTCTACCAGACTTCAATGCGTGATCCTGCTTTCTACCAACTTTATCACAGAATTATTAATTACATCATTGAATACAAGGAATATCTGAAGCCTTATGATTTCAATGATCTTTATTTTGAGGGGGTTAAGATTAATGACGTAAAAATTAGCGATTTGGTCACATATTTTGAATATTTTGACTTTAACGCTACAAATGGGGTCTATTTCAGTCCAGATGAGCTTAACTATTATCCAACTGCCTATATCATTCGTCAACCTCGCCTCAATCAGAAATCGTTTACTATAAAATTTGAAATTACTTCTGCAGTAGAGGTCGATGCTGCCTTTAAGATTTTCATTGGACCGAAATATCACTCCACCGGATACCCAACCAACATTGAAGAAAGCTGGATGAAATACTACGAACTCGACTGGTTTGTGCATAAGCTTGTTGTTGGTGAGAACAAAGTAAAACGCAATTCAAGTGAATTTTTATTCTTTAAAGATGACTCTATTCCAATCAACGAGATTTACCAATGGTTAGATCAGGGAAAGGTGCCCTATGACATGTCTGTTCAGCCCGATAATATGCCCAGGAGATTGATGCTACCTAAAGGTACCCCCGGTGGTTATACTTTTCAGTTGTTTTTATTCATCTACCCATACAACAAGCAAAAGAAAGGTGACAATGATTTCCAGAACTACATACTGGACGATAAACCCTTTGGCTTTCCTTTTGACCGACCTGTGCGTGAGACTTACTTTGGACAACCTAACATGTTTTACGAGGATGTACAAGTCTACCACAAGGGTCCAAATTTCTCTTACGAGTTGAATGTTCCTTTATATTTCTAATCACGTCCATTGCACTAAATTAATGATAAAAATGACTTTAGTTTAGATCAATATGAACATTTTATATCGCAATGGAATTAAAATATTTTTTGGAGGTTTTTTGTTTTATTATAATAGTTAGTTGATATTATTTAGGATTATATGATGGTTTAGACAATTTACAAAATACAGCACCTTAAAGATTTTTTTTTAAATCATTCGTAGTCTTTTATTATTTGCTTTATTTCTTATAATAAATGACATATATATTAAATGACAACTACTATTAACATATTTTAGTTGAATTATTCCTGATAATTTGTTGACCATAAAGGTCATCAAGGTAACGAATTTTGAGCGGATATGGACAAGTTAACAATAAGTTGACCAGGGTCAAATAAAATACATAAATATTTTTTTATTCTATACCTAACAATACTAATGTCTAATGTACTTAATAACTAATGTGCATTAAAAGAAAATGCATTTAATGCAGGTGCGGTGAAAAATAACCATTCTTTTGAATGTGGTTTTTCTTATGATATATTGTAATGTTATAGAATTTATAATTTGGAGCATCGTCATAGTATCCGACTGCTGGCCTATCGAAAGGATAGCCAATAGGCTTATTATCTAGGTCGTTCATTATTTCTCCAAAGAACTTGTTACCAGAATAGATTTCATCTAAATATTCATCAGCTGGCGTTATCATGATAAATAGGGTAAGATTTAGTCCATTAGGGGTACCTCTAGGTATAATTAAATTTTCAGGGAACTTAAATAAATTAAAATTATTTTGTCTCTCGCTCTGTGTTGATGACCCTTCCAAATTATAATATTCGTCATTTGAAAATCTAGTTGAGATCTCCGGTGACCAGGTTATGGTACTTAGTCCTTCTTCTGCGAGAGCAAAAGCAAACTTATCGAGTTCGAAAAAGTTTGCATATTCTTCCCAGCAACTGTCAGTACAGGGTGGTCCGAGGAACAATCGTACAATACTATCCTTTACACCTTTACAGTCAACGGTGAAGTTGAACTCGAATTTGGAATGCTTAAGTCTTTTCTGTCGCGCTGTAATAGTCAATGGCATTCTGTCTTGTAGAGAATCTAGTTTAAACACAGCATTGCTGATATCAAATTGATAATAGTTAAAATAAGTGGTTATTTTTGGTATGTCAGCATCAATAATTTCACACTGTTTTATGGCATCTTTTTGTATATCAGCCGGTTCGATAGACTCCTTGAATTCAGTGAAGTAGTTAAGAACATATTGCATCATGTACCAATATACGGGATCCCTTAATGTTGTTTCTGGGTGGTGTAGTAGAGACGGTGCTGGGTTATATCTGCAAAGTAACATAAAGTCGTTCTCATTGTATTTTTTTTAGTTTTATGATGTGTCTTTTATTAATATGACTTAAATAGCATTGTATATTTATTTAGCATAATGCTAGCTTAGAAATCAAATTTGTTACACCTTGGTATAATACAATAACCAAAAATATCTTACCCTTCAATTGGATACCCATTTCCCCCATAACCAAAGAACGACCTAATGATTTTAGAAACTTTTCCAACCTCAAAATTTCCTCTAAATAATCTGGTCAATAATTTTACATAATTTTCTTCGGATAATTTTATCGGCGGTTTGTTGTCCTGAAATAACAAGCAATACATGAAGCAGATCACAATATTTAGGTGCTAATTTAAGTATTTCGTTATTATTATTCCACTTACCATAACAATAAGTCCTCTTGACATACATTCTCTTATAGCGATATCAATAGTTTTAATTTTAGCTCTATCTTCATTCCAATCTCCCATAGTACCTGACCGTGTCGGGAAAGGCAATCCATTTTCGTAAATTAAATATGGATGGTAATCACCAAATTCAGTTTTCTTAGTCCCATTTTCTTGACGCAAATGTTCTTTCTCAAGATATAAACGTGCTGCCAGCTGTTGGTGAATGTAATAGTAATGCTCGTCTGGCCTTGAGTTTGAAGTATACAGTCTGTGACGGAACATCCAAAAAGGATGCATCAATTGTACTCCATAGTAGTAACTATTCAAACCTATGTCTTCTCTGAAGTAGTTCAATAACTCTTCACCTCCATTCTCTGGCAGATTCCAACCAGAATAGTTAGTGTTAATCGTGAGTATGTCGTAAGTTTTAAAGTACTGGTCAACATGAGCATTATCAGTGATATCTATATTATTGTTGATATAGTTTACAAGTTTCAAAGCTTTTATTATAGTTTCGCCGTTAACAAAATAATGGGGTTTTGTAGTAAAAGGTGGTGGATATACATCGACGCCAGCATATTTATCCCTGTACAACGAGTTTATTTGACTTACATATGTTACCAAATCATCATTGAATTCCTTTAGATTTATTAGCTTGTCAATATCATAACCAGAACGTTCTGCATTATGTAATAACTCAAATAAATGACTGGCAACATCTTTCATTTCATCATTATAGATGTTAAAAATAAGGCCTTTTAATGAGCCACCTTTTTTGACGAACTCTTTCAAGTTTATGTAATCACTGTTTAACTGAAAGTAATGTTTTAGATATAAATTAATTACATTATTGTTTTGTATCTTTAAGTGAATTCTGAACAAATTTTCAGCTGATTACCTCTAAAAGGCCACTAAATAGATCAGATTTTTGAGATCCCTGCGGTAGGTATCCAGGCACAATTCCCATCAAATCACCGTCTGGATTTACGGACAATTCTGAAAAGAAAAAAATAATCGAAATAATGACTAATTTAGGTACATCATATATAATACAACTAATCACGGTTAGAAATACCCAAGGGCTTAAGTTTTTATAACTATTTGCCAACATACTTTATGAGTATTAGGTAAAAGCAGTATTTTTTTAATTTTTATCGTTTTTACTTTACTACATATGAGTATTGCTTAGTAGTGATGTACTGTAGGAGGGTATTTTTTTATTCATTTGTATAAGAATATGATCATTAACAAATTATGAAAGCAAAAATTAATACAATGACATCACAAGGAATTCGTAATATGCAGTCCATTACATTGTTCATATTCTAGGCAACAATAAAGAGAGAATGATCAAGCAATTTAATTCGTAATTTATTGCCAGTTGCATTTATAGTATGAGGCCATTAGACTAACCTTGGCACTTGAAACAGTAAGAATAAACAGAATTATCACATACCTCCTTGGTTGATAAAACCATTGAATTCGTCCATTGGCGCTGACTTGCATATTCCTAAAACCACCCATAATATCACGGTAAATCGGAACATCACGACTTACACCACTCAACTAGTGTCGTAAATAGTTAAACATGGCTTATATGCACACGAGGATTCATAACAGTATTTCTACTGATCCAATTGACATCCTGAGGGTCGCTTTAATGGGCACAATTTTCATCGTACACTTGAGATCAGATTTTTTAGGTGACCTATCGTTATTTTTTTATCATTCGTACTAAAATTGTATGCCTTGACGTAGTAAGGAAAACGACGTAACTGGTTGTTTCATCTATGTGTGTACTAACTGACTTACCACTAAATTCTTAAATTGGTTTAAATGTAGTCTTCAAGGGCGAAGTAATAAGCATAATGAACTAAGCGCCGGCTTACCACAAACTGATTTAATCGGATCTTATTTTTAGTTTCAGTTATGCTTCAAGTGTGGGAGAGCCATGCTTTGGCACGAAAGGTTCGGCTCGACTGGAGTGATACCACGGCCTCACAGAAAACCGCCGTGACATAACCACAGCGTTGTGTTTCGCCGTGTGAGTGAGGTTACCAGAGGCCCAATCCTTTCCCTCCCCTAATCCCTCCTGAATCCCTAAATCTCCAAATCCCTAATCCCTAAAAGGTCGGCAATGCACTCGTAACACCTCCGTTGCGAGTGTCGATGGGCGGCGCTGATTGCTTACCATCAGGTAATCCGTTTGCTCGTTAGCCGACCTATTACATAAAAAAAAAATATGCTGGTGGATGAATCCTTGTCTTTAATAAAACAAAACTACGTAGAAAAAACTAGTATTGATTAGCGAATCATACTCACATCTTCAATTTACTTGTGTGTTGTGTCTAATGTGTAATGTGTAAGTGTTACTATCTAATTTCGTAAACAACCTTTTCAAAGAGCTTAAATTTAATATCACAGTGCCAGGAGATTATTAAAGTTATCGGTTTAAGAGTGATAAGTTATTAACTTATAGGTGAAAATTGACAGAATCTGTGATGACAATTCATTTTGTGTGAAAAATCTAAGTAGATTAATGTTATTGTAGCGCTAAGGTAAATGTGCACTGGCTCATTATTCTGTACTCCACTGTACTTTACCCACAGGAAACAAAATGCAATTGGACAATTTTTCAATTGCGAGTCTTGGAACACGGCTAATTTTGGTCAACAAGCAATTCCTCACTCTCGAACTCAATTACCGTATAAAACAGAAATATAGAATGTGCCAGTGGAAATATTTAGAGCTAAATGCTTACATAACAGCCCACTGGGATGTATAAATCATAATAAATCACTAGACACTAGTGTGGTATTTCTGTTCCTTTGATCAACAAAACCAGTGTGCTCAGTACTGCGAGTGGTCGCCAACTAAAAGGATTTTGAGGGAATATTCAGGTCAAGGACAAAACAATACACAATTGAAACAAGAAAAAAAGACTGTTGTTTTGTGTATTGGTGTTTTGTAATCATGAGTTTTTTTTAATATAGTGCTTTGCGTTATAAATATTAGCATACAATTGGTTGAGAGCTCGTTACGTGTAAATTATTCCGGAAATAATTCTTTGGAACGAACTCGATTTATTCCTGGCCTACCCTTGTAGACTATTAAAATTAATCAAGTGCCTATCTATAAGATAGAGTAAAATGTGCAAATTAATTAAACAACCATGCTAATACCGCATTTGGTTTTGTACTAGTATCAAAGTCTTAATTTTTAAATACAATAAAAATAGCATCTAAACATAATAATACTATAAATTAATAGTGAACGACGATTTGCTTAGTCTCCAGTCATCATCTCCATGAATTCTGAAACAAAATAAAACAATGGTTTAGTATTACTTTAATTAAAAAAAAAACAACACGTGTCTATATTTCGTCAAAGTCTATGTTTTGATGGAACTAGACGTTACTAGTGATTCCAGAAAAGTCTCATAAATCTAAATTTCACATATTTTCTTCATTCAATTTTAAAATACCCAAGTGGAACTTAAGAGTTTTTGTCAAAAGACTATTTCGCACACTAAATGCTTTTGATCTTAATTCAAAATAAACGGAGTATTAGAACCAATAAATTAATATTGCAATGTGCTTGTGGAAGACCATAAATTTAAAGCGTCACATACCGCCCGCCTTTTTAGTGCGCGAGTAATGTTTCGACATTAGTCTCAGGGTATAGATGTTTATGTACCTATCTGTGTTGTTTTTGCGAAAATTTATGCTATAGTACATCTTCAAAAGCAGCTGCTATGCCAACTAACTTCTAATAATCTCCAAACGGAATTTTGTTTAAATCTGACGGATGTTTTCGGATTTTTTCATAATATATTGCTAGAGTAGCTAGCGTGGATTGATACGTGGCCAAATTGTTATGTTCACGCTTTTGACACTACTGTCGACGAAACGACATCAGGTAACTGCGTGTTAACTGCGGAGGCCTGTCTTGGCGTCGAGACAAAATGTGGGCAGACCTCCAGCCAATATTCCAATAACATTGTAATAATAATTTGGAACATTAGAGTGATTTAGTGATGATTTTGAAGTATTTATTACAGTCGGTGAAGAAATATTTACCATCGAAGTCGACGGTTCCGGATCCGTCAGTGTCAATTTCAGCGATGATGCCGTCCAAATCACTTGAGCTAAGCTTGTCGTCAAGGGCAGCCAGAATTTCCTTAAGAGTTGAGGTGGTGATGTATCCGTTTCCTTCACGATCGTACAACCTGGAGATTAGAAAAAATATAAGTTTAGTAAATGGAAGTATGCGATCGATTATCTATATAAAACTATTTGCACATGTGACAGTTACCTGAAGGCTTCCTTCAGTTCCTGTTGCATAGCCTCGGCGTCTTCCTCCTCCAAGAAGTGGGAAGCAATGTTGCAGAAGCCATCGAAGTTAATCTTGCCGGAGTCTGAAATAAAGAAACAATAAACTTGCTGCTGAAGCTATTGGGATGTTTTTAACCTTGAGCGTATTATTGAAGACGGCTTAGATAAATAAACGGTGGATACAGAGACATGCATCTTTCAAAGGGACTGGTGGTAACTCGGAGAGAACTACCGTACGGAAATAGCCTCATTAGTTCACGCGACGAGTAAAAATATTCGAGAGTATGTTCGAAAAGGTGTCATAGCCTCGGTACGTGTGAATTCTTGTTAGTGTATTCTGATGATGGATGACTTTTTAACAAGATATCTTTGCAGCTGTTACGATAGTTGTTGTTTCATTTTTTTGACCATCCGTACATTTCGACTTGGCACGTTGGATATAAAGAATCATGTTGTTTTAGAGTTTAAAGTTCTCTAGCAAAATCGAATTTTATTTATTTATTGAAGTACAGACAACTATATTGCAATGAACGACAAATTCTGACATCTGAATAAAATATGTTTATCAGCATCATAATTCTATTTAATCAGTAATCATAATATGTAATAATAATAAGGAAGAAACTTTGAAGATGGTTTTTAATCAAGATTTGGATATTTATGAGTATGTACCGATATTGTGTGACATAGAAAATGTAAGTACTCACTTTCTGGGTCATTCTCATCGATGAGAGCCTGCAGCTCAGAGTCATCGAAGAGCTGGCCCATGGTGTTGAGGATGGTTGAGATCTTCAGGACATCGATGTATCCCGACTTGGTGGTGTCAAACATCTGGAAGGCCTTGCGCAGCATGGCCATCTTCTGGTCATCATCAGTGTCCTGGAGGCAGAGAATACGAATATGAGTCGAGTTAAACCATAAAACTCTGATTTCATGACGATTAGGACTTTTTTGATTTACACAAAAATTGGAGCAATCCTTTTCAATAAATTGGTAATATTCACTGCGCGTGTTAATTTTCCATGAAAATATTCCATGTATCATTGAAAAAAATACACGTTCCGCTTCATCACAAATAACTGTCACATTCACTTCCATTGTATAAAATAATTGTAATCCTTCTGATCCTCACCATGGTGTTTGTGTAGGGTTGGCAGTTGTAACAAGAACCGAATCCGAGTGCGAGTGTTGTTACACTAGATTTTACGTCGGTGTAGCACCCTTATTTATAGCATTCCTACCTCCTCGAACTGAAATACAAAAATAAGTGAAAAAGCTGCTGTCTCTCTCTCCACCGTACACGTTCAGAATAGTGACGTGGTTATTGAGTTCTTCGTCAGCGTGAATTATATCTACGTCAGATGGTGGGAATGCTCAGCAAAACCTGCATTCTGCAGGAAGTGAGCTGTCAGATTTATATAAACTAATTGACATCGACTCACACGTAGAAACAGAGCTGATGCTGTCTATTTTTGGCATCATGATAGTTGTTGTCGAAGTTTCTGAAATCCATTATTCCAGGATCGTTCTGCGTTTCAATAACAATGACGTATTTGTTTCTACGTTGCTTCGTAAGTGAGAGATTAATAAAGTACTCGCTCGTCACATATTGTTAGTTTAGACTGTAGCCATTTTTTTTAATGTAAATAAGCTTTCAAAAACGCTTTTTGTTCATAAACTGGGAAAAATCGAGCACATGAATATATCAATCATCAATCGTCAATAGTGTCAGTTTTATAGAAAGTGGAATGCAAATGACTTCTGTATTAGGGGAAGTTTTGTATAAGAATTAGTGGTTACGGTTCTCGATCACAACATGTGAAACTGAACATCTTCAAGATGTCCAGCTTAAAACGTAGCAGAAACTGTTACGTATATAAAGCTGTTCCTTGATTAAGAGCAGGAAATTCCTTTGATGCGGCCGCCGATTCACAACAATCCCGACGAGAATATTACGTGTTGCGACGTCATTGTCAGGTGTCGTCAACTGTTTCGATTTTAGTTTTACTTTACATTTTTTTTAAGTTTTAGAAATATCTATTAAAATTATTTGCTGCTTCTTAATATTACAGAATGAGGTTTCTTTGAATCACTTTCATTATTTTGTTAAGGCAGTTGTGTTGTTATTTGATGTCGAGTTTTGGTAGTTTCATTTTATATAACCTCTAATTTTAACAAGAGTTCATCAATCACCAGTTTATTAAACATAAAACGTTATTATTACTTATTTTAATTTATAAAACATAAAAACGAAATCCAATTTCTAAAATATTAAATCACACCCGATTATCCCTTATAGCAGTTAAAATATAAATTATTATGATTTAAGTAATATTATGATATAGTGCGGATGTAAATATTTGAATACAACAGCTAACGTATGGAAGGCCGTCGATTGGCGACCACTGGCGCGTGAAACGGGTTATACTGCGGCGCCGGAGCAGATATAGACTGTCGGTGATCGGCTATAATTTTTGTGTTCTCATGTGAATGCCACAATGAGAGAAACATCCAATCTGAGTCGCGCTTTACGTGCCGACCACGTGTAGTCTTAAAACAACAATACTCGACGAAATTAGGTCAGGTTACAAGTTTATTTTTATACCATTGGATATAAAAGTGACGTTATTTTTGTCAATGAATTCCTTACAAAGCAGTCATTAAATAGTAAGAATTTTATCGAAAATCAAAATACTGGTGATAAATAGTTTTCGACGGAGCATTATGATGATAATAACGTCAGATTCTAGCTTTTGCTTCTCTCTTTTTTCTCTTTCTTTCTTTTTTAATTCTTTGTTTTGATTCGTATTATAATAATATTTAACTGTGTTGTGATTGAAATATATATTTCTTAAAACAACTTCTCTGAAATTGTTGGTACTAAGAGATTAATAATATTTTACGAAAGACTGCACTTTTGTTATTTTCGTACTTATTATCATGTGCTATGTTTTCGCAATATTGAAAACAAATGGGACGAGATATCTCTGTATTATGTAACATTATTAATTCACACCGTTCAATATTATTGAACTGTCGATTTGTAAATTGAAAATTTATTTGGTATTTCTCATATATTGATGTTGTGTATGTTTGGATTTTTTCTTTGTAATTTCATGTTATTTTCTGGAGCTAGAATGTTGAAACTATTTTCGATTAATGTACTAGAATTAGTTTTATACTCGAGAACATATAAATTATTTCAACAGCTTTATGCAAAGATTATCCCATAAAGCTGTGGCATAATTTTCCCAGGCATTTTAAGTTTTCAAGCCTTTAAAATATTGTTCTATATCTGTCAGATACTAACTAGATGAATTTCTTCCGTTATAAATAACCAGAAAGAAAAACAAGTAATATTTGTGGAGAAATGGACACTTTATGTTTTTAATTACAATTTAAATTCACATAATAAACCCATTAGGTCGAGATTGAGGTGCAATAAAAGATATATGACAAATATAAAGCGTAGAATAGCAGGAAACGAGCAATCGTAAATAAACGCGCTAATAATTTTACAGTCTGACCGTCAGTTGCAAGCAGGGACTTATTAAATTTATTTGCCGATGCGTAACTGACATTTGACTAATTTACACTGACTTAACATTCCATAATCAAAATAATTGGTAATCACAGCCAAAATTTTGAGCAGGGCTGTCGGTACCCTGAATCATCAGCGCCAATGGAGTGGAAATATAACTTCATTTTGGCACAGAATACAGGATTTTCCTTGCAGAATCCATCGGCTGTTACCCGGAGCCAAATGTAAATAAATCTTGAAATAGTTCTCAGGTACTTTGATGTGCATTTTTATTTTTCATTTGTCTTGTCTCCTTCGCTTTGTTAGGTTACATCATTTGTTTTATGATGCAAAAAAATAAGAGAATACTTTTGTTTTGAAGAAAAAATCTTTATTTTAAAATTAAAACATTGCAAACTGATCATAAGAGTTAATCTAAGTCAGAATTAGACGGCTTTAGAAAACAATATAGTTAGAATAATAAACTTGTTAGAGCGATATAAACTCATTTTTATTTTGTTATTCATAGCGCTGCAGCCGTCAATAGCAAATCTAAGTTAAGCCTCACAAAGTATAATTTTAATTTATTGCAGCAATTCTTTCAGTATAACGAGGAAATATGATTTGCAAGAATTTATGAATATTTGTGTGTCGAGAAAATATATGTAGACCGTTTGACTTTAACGATCCATCATAAAGTTTTATTTGTGTTTATACCAGATGTAATCAATATTGTTTACCTGATGCTATCAAAATATACAATACCAGTACACAAGATTGTGTGTTCCTATTTTAAATTTAGATATATCGCCATGGATTCTATCCCGATATTCATTTAAAGTGGTTATTGGTTATTGTACCGTATGTTTTGTAAAGACTTTGTAATCAACTGTAAAAGTAGTTTCTATTTGTATTCTAGCTGTTGTCACAGTGGTGACCGATGGTTTTTAAATTTTCCGCGATGAAAATAGGGAAAGCGTAACGTCGTTGTAAAATGTTTGGAACGTCTCCAAAAATAATGATAGAAAACCTCGCGAAATAGCAATAATGTGCATTCATTCCCCTTGTTATATTATACGTTTTTACTTTAACGATCAATGAATATCAGCCACATGTGTTGTGATCAAAGAGTTTTATGGGTTTTATCATAAATGTTATATGTTTTAAAGTTCCTTGTTACAGGTGATGGTGTAAATGCCTTGTTAACAATTTATTAGGTGGCTCATGAACTTGTTTATGTTTCTTTAATTTGGCGTTCTCAAATAAAAGATAAGTGTCATGTGGGCGTCATTCATATTAGTTTTAGAATAGTTCGTCATAAATACTAAGACGACGACTAAGAGTGTGATCGTTCATGTATTAAGGGTAAAAGGAAGAAATGAGACTAAACAGATGTATTATTTAATGTAACTAATTTATTTCAACAAAAATCTATAACTTCGTACATAGGTACATTTTTATAAAAATCATAGTAAACTATCTTATGAAATATTTTATGACATAAAATTTTATTCATACACTTTATTTTCAGGGTTGTCATAATCAAATGTGTGAAACAAAAAGTCGTACACTGTGGGAGTACGTCTTCTAACATCGAATCGGAATGGATCAAAGATTTCTATTACTTTAGTATCAACGACATCTTTCGGAAAATTATCGTTATTTTCTTCATTTGCGTTATTCTCTTTAATTTCACTAAGCATATCTACATTGTTATCATCTCTTTCTAGTTGAACTCTTGCTATAACATCATTTGTAGGTTCAAGCATGATATTAACGGATTCTGTGCTCACTTTTTCTTCTTTTGTTGGCAAAGTACGGTATTTAAAGTAATCTCCTCTTTTTGCAGAATAATCTTGTTTATCTAATTGCGCCTTCTTTGCTTTGTAATCATATTGCTCCTTCCTTTTAGAAGCGTAGTCCTTTTTTGGATAAAACGATGACTTTTCCAATAATAAGTCAGCGTTTTGTTCATTGTTAATAACATCTTCTTTAATCAAAGTTGCAGTTGCAGTAGTTACACGATATTCTTCATCTATAAGTTTATTAACTGAATGATATTTCTTGTAATCTCCTCTTTTTTCTGAATAATCTTTCTTATCAAATTGCGCTTTCTTAGTTTTATAATCATATGGCTCTTTTCCCTTAGATGCATAGTCTACATTCTTTGGTTGATACGATGGTTGGTCTAGTAACATTTCGACCATCTCTCCATCATTTACGACATCTTCCTTTATAAAAGCAGCCGAGGTAGTAGTAAGCAAGTTTTCCTCTTCCTGGGGTGGTGTATATGAGTTATATTTCTTGTAATCTCCTCTTTTTGAAGTGTAATCTTTCTTGTCAAATTGATTTTTTTTTGTTTTATAATCGAACGATTTAGCGCTGGATGCATAGTCATAACTTGATAGTTTAAGCAGACGTGGTATAGTTAACATTGCTTGGTTTTGATTTTCACTATCAGGAACAATTTCTGTTATCTCAGGAACGACCACGTCTTTATCAATTTCTTCGTTTTTTACAGTGGTATAGTTATCCTTGTCAACTTGTTTGGCATTATCATCTTTTTTCTCTAATTTTGTTATCTCTGCATTGTTGTTTGGCACTACTGTATCGAACTTCATAAAGTTCAACGAGCGCACTGTATCAACATTGGTATTATGATCATTCGATCCTTTGGGAACAAAGCTTCCTTTTGACGACTCTTCGATGTAATTGACAGTATCTCCAGGAGCAATATCATATTCACTCACGCCATTTTCATCATCTTTTGAAGGTCCTTTCTTGGCATTGTAATCAAAAGTTTTACGGGTATTTGCAGAGTAATTTGGTCGAGCTGATGGATCGTAAGTGTTAGTACCATACCATTGCTTTGTCACACCAGGTCCTCCATAGTTTTCTACTTTGTTCTCACCCTTTTGAGTGATTGTAATATACTTGATTAATGCGTTAGGTAAACCAAATAGTTGTTTATCTTCAACCACCAAGTCTAGTGGATAGCCAGGTGATAAAATAGCAGAATTGAATTCTGTGTTAGTTGATGGGTATGAATTGCTAACACTGGCTTTAGTAAATGGTGCAATAAATACAAACATTTGAATAGGAAGCCCTTGAGATAAACCTTTTGGTAAAATAAGTCTTGTTGGATACCCGATCTGATCTTCGATCCGTTTTAAAGGTAAAGAATTCAAACCAAATTCAGCATCTTCTATATTTTTACGGATAGTTTTTACTGACGCAAAGTCGGACGAGAAGTGTTTCATATCATCAGATGTTCTGGATATTACATTTGTTCCTATTTTAAGGTTCACTTCAAAGACGTTAAGTAATGTAAAAAGATTCTTTTTAGCAGCTAATTCTCCAGGTAATAGCTTAGGTCCTAAATAAATTTTAACTAACCCTTTTTTAGATACCAAAGAAGATATGTTAAGTTTGACTGTAAACGGCTTATGATTTAATCTAGGTTGACCTATTTTAACGTTGAAAGCCGACTTATTATCGTCTAATTTTAGTGCGTCAGTAACGTCGAACTCGAAGTAATCATACGCTGTCATCATCTTTTTCACGTCAATATTTACGATCTCTACTCCAGGGAAGTACAGCTCGTTTCTAGAGTATGTGGGTAACAGTTTTAGAGCACTATCCACGAGGTCGACTATTTTCTTGTTAATCTTCCAAAACATTGGATCCCGCAGTGAAGTCATGTAGTGCTCCAGTACCGAGACGTGTCTGAAATAGTTGTAAGTCATAAATAGTTTGTAATTATTTATTATAAAGCCATCATCAAATACAAATTAATCAATGCTCAAATTACCCGTTGTTGGTACGATCTTTGCCAAGGAGCTGGCGAGCCAATGTCTCATAACTCCGCTCTCCCGTGACTAGGATTTCCATTAAATGATTTAATATCTGTGTTTTATTATATCCACTCTGGCGCTGAAAAAAATGTTTCTTTAATAATAAATTTTATTAGCATACTATTTTAGATGTTTAGGACGAATTACATAAATTACTGATCTTTTAAACTATGCATAAATACATACCATATGGCCGACGACAGCTGCTACATTATTTTCTATAGTTTGCAACAAAGTAATTTCATCGTTTGCTGGAAATTCTAGAGGCATTGTTCTATGATTGAACTCCTTTCCGTCTGAGTAAACTAATTCAGGATCATAAGGTATATCAGGTAGATCATTCCAGTCAATAGGATCTATCTCCGGAAAGCCACTAGCATACCTTTCCAAATTATACCTCGCACTAAATTGTTTCATCATTTGGTAAATATTTTCTCCATATCTCTCATTAATATCACCTTTATAAAATGGAGACAATCTCAGTTTTCTCAAATAGTAATAGGAATTCAAGCCAATATCTTCACGGAAGTAGGCCAACTTTGAATCATCGTCGTTGTTGTAGAATATACCGGTGTAATTTGCATCTAAGTAGTATGCGTTTCCTTCATCACGAAGACCTTCTGTTGGAGTTACTTCTTGGCCACTTAGGATGGAAGTTGCTTTGATCAGTACATCTTTACGTACAAAATAGTTTGGTAATACTTCGTACGGGGCTGGTATGGATAACTTGGCCATATCTTTTCTGCTTTGTATCACCATGTAGATAGCATTCACATAAAGTCCACAGTTTATATTTTGTCTTGCCCAAGCAGCGACTTTGTAAAACACAACGAAGTTTTTGGCGGAGTAAAATGCTTCGTAAACAAATTTCAATTGCTTCATATGTTCAGGATTGTATTCACTGAAAATTTCTCCCTTGGGCAATAAGCCAGCTGACATAAGCTTTTGCAAATTTGTAATTGCATTTGGTTCCTGTAATTAAATCACAAATATGATGTGTTTGAAAAATAAAATGATTTACCTAGTTCATTTGCTAATTAATGAGTAGTTGGCAACATTTACTTACCAAGTAGTCTGCCGTGTTTATTGTAAAGTCTTGAGCTAGTTTTCGTACGTCGGGATTGGTACTGTCTTCGCAAACATTTTCGAGTAGAGGAATCATCAATTTTTGTAAGTGTAGCCATTGCGAAGGAACTGAAAATAAAAATTAAATTTATAATAATACAGGGATAATTGCCGGCTGATGTCCCATTACACTTAAATTAAAGTTGTTCAACGGGCCTCTGCGAGTAAGCTTCGGCCCCTCGTACGCCTTCCACAGGTCCGGGATCCTGTGATCCCGTGAACGGAAACCAACTTACAAATAATAATATTTTTTGGTAATCCGAAACTTTATACAGTTAGTTACTTTGGTATCAGTTTCCTATTATTTTAGTATAAATATAGATATATTATAAAATAGTGTCTCGATGCTGAAGGACGGGTTGTTTATATTTTACTCTGTAATAATTGAAACCGTAATACATAATATATGATTCACTTAGAACATCATGCCAAAAGATTGCTTGGTAATGGATGAATTCTATATTTTAGCAAAAGTTCTATTCGTAATAGAGAGCAAAGGACGTGTGCATTTTTAGAATAAGTTACAGTATTTATAATACAATATTTGCTATGGACATATTTCTAACAACTGGTATTAGTAAGTCCTGACTGAAAATAAAGATCATTAGAAATTAACCGAGTTTATGAAGCCAAATGTATCCTCGGGATATCTATTTATTTATATCCAGGAAAACTAAATACACGTAGTTTTTATTGTACTTAAAGTGTTAACATGTCTTGTATGGACATAGGTAAATCTTAAAAAACTGTTTTGAAAACTTTGCGTGATTTAAGAACTGATTTCAAGACCCATTTGTAGAGTCGACTTGATCAAGAAAAAACTGTGATATTACTTTACAATTTAAAATTTTGAACGAATTTTACGTTATAAATGTTAAAAAATACTCACCAGGATCTCTGAACAATACCGGAGGTGCAGTAGGCACTTGTATTAAGTACCCTGATATTTGTATACCAAGTACTGTCATAACTAAAACCACTGTTAACGTCTTCATCTTGTCTAATTGACTGCGATTTTGTGAACTAATCTCAACAATATATAGTCAAAGAATTTTCAAAGTTCATAGACTTTTAGTAACAATTAATTGATAAGAATAGTTCAATGCGCTAGAGTTATGAATGATAATGCAATTAGTGAAATAATAATATGTTCACAGTTCATTGGTCTAATGCCCTAAGTAAGTGAATCATTCGCTTACTTGTCATGTTATAATGATAGTGTAATTGTGTAGGTAAGTTTTTGTCTGGTCGATTTGTAGAAATGTGTGTAGTTAGTTGTATATTTATATCTTACCTACTAATATTATAAATGTGAAATTTTGTGACAATTTATGGATGTTTGTTTGTTATCGTTTCACGCGAAAACGGCTGGACCGATTTGGTTGAAATTGGGTATGTAGGTAGGTTGGGTTAACATATAGGCTGATTTTCATCAACAAACTACGCATACGAAGTAGCTGGTGATTGAGTGGTGAGTGATTCATCACATCAATTAAAAAAAAAAAATAATGTCATTATCCTCAACCGAAAATTAACGAGTATGCTGATTAAAACACAGATAATTATTTTATTAAATTAAATCTCACCACTGCTTACAAGCAACCGATTAAAAATATTGTATAAAATAAATTACTAAGATGCTTAAAAACCTGGGAGGATAATGACTTGTTAAATAAAAGTTAAGGTTTTTTGGAGAATCACCCGGGAGCTAGTAATACCATGAAAAAAACAATTGTCATGTCGACTCAGGAATTGATAACAATCTAGCAACAAGACAGTCCGAAGTGTAAATAAAAAAAAATAGTGTAAAAGAAAGATTCTATATTTAGATATTACTATAGTTCTATATAGTTTTGCATGTGTCTGATTAGAGATTTAATAAAGACCATGGTGAAACAAGAAACTAGAAGCTACTCTCGCGCGGTTTCACCCGCTGCTCGGCTCCATTTAATCGTAGCGTGATGTTATATAGCCTGTAGCACTCAGGGACATTGTAGGTCTATCTATCAGTGAAAGATTTTGGCTATCCGACGAGCGTTTCCAACGATTACCCCTACATACAAACTTACAAATTTTACCTTTTAATAATATTAGTATTGATATAGTTTTCTCATGCATGGTTTCGACAACTGGCAAGTACTGCAAGTTTCCCAGTTACATGTATTTTCTCTTATTGTTACATCACTGACATACGGTAAAGGAAAACATCATGAGGAAACCTGAATTTCTTATTATAAGTTTGAAAGTGGTGAATAATGCTCAAACCTTATCCTTGAGAGAAGAGACCTCTATTCAGCAGTGGGAACTAAAATACTTATGTAGTTGTAATATAGGTACTTACTATATTACAACTAAGTATTTTTTGCTTATCTGTGCGTCGCGTATTTGTATAGGTAATTTATTGTTGAAGTTACCTTTAAATGAAGTTAGGTATCATAGTTCAAAAGAATCCTTAATCTACAAAAAAATCCCAAAATCTTAATTGTAAAAAAAATTAACTTACTTCCTTGTTCCAATCAGGCAGATTATAATCAGCTGACTACGGAGATATTTTTTTCCCAAAATTAAAATAACAAAACCGAAAGTAAATAGATTTTAAGAAACTAAAGTACCTAGCAACTAAATAGTAATACTGTTAATAAAATTATTATTACTACAATGTGGCATTTTCTATACATTCTAAGCAGAAATACCTATAGCAAAGAGTAGATTAGTTAGCTTCTATTGTTCAGATCAGTTTTGGCAGCTGTTTCGTATTCTGCATACCAAAGTCACGGTGAATATAAATGCTTTGGCGAAATATTTATTACTGGAACTACATTTATACATATCTCTCGTGGTGGCCCAAAGGTGAAGGCGTCCAATTCATCACATTCAAACCAGTTCCAATCTTTCCTAGACGTATAAATGTTCTTTCAAAAAAAAGTCAAAAGTCAAAATCATTTATTTCAACTAAACCATAAATAGGTACTTTTGAAACGTTCTAGGATTATTTAGACCACTGGCGTGAAGAAAAACATCGTGTGGATATCTGGTTTAAGGAAGCATGGTGATTAACACTCTTACACCTTCTCCGTGTAAGAAGGAGCCATGGCTCATCTTTAGGAACTTATAGGTTGGTGAGGATGGTGGTGGTGCATGAAATTACAATTGAGGCAGCGTCAAAAAACCACCCGGTTCCTCCTCCTGCTACGAGTCAACCGCGCGACATTATAACGCTTGTATTAGCAACTTTATGATTGGCAAGTGTTTTAAAAATCGAAACCCCGAGACTAACATTTGTCCGAAACCGGACTGTGTGTGGCTTAGTTGGTTCTTAGCATACCCACGTAAGTTGTAGAGATGTACATCTGTAATTTCATAACTTCATAAATTAAAGATAAAACAATATATACATAAAAAATAATCGCAAATATGCTAGTAAGTTCATAACTTATTTGTATGAAATATCTGATTTGATTTTCTATTGACCTAAGATGTCAGTAAAGCTTTTTTTTTTGTAATAGGAATATCATCAAATGACTTCTCCCGCCCAGGGCCGGGCAGGAGGGAGTGTCAGACTCTTACTGACTAAAAACCCCCCTGTTCCTTCTCCTGCTCTGTGCCGAGGTCGCGGTGCCTCATCGCGCTTACCCCGCAACCCCGGCTGAACATCAGCCCTTTAGGGCCCCGTCTGTGGTGGTCTAATGGCTCTTTGAGGCGCGCGCGGAACGCTACGCGCCGTACGCTCGGGCCTGGTTCTGGTCGGGCGGCGAGCTGCCCTTACTCGCCGACCGCAGGCCCGTGCTTACGGTGGCCGGAGATCGTCCCTTGATGTCAGTAAAGCTTAAGGTTTGATTTTTGAGCAATATACTGGTTGAACGAGCCCAACTGTAACTAACTAACTTAAGTGTGGGACAGCCATGTTTCGACACGAATGCGTCGGCTCGACCGGAGTGATACCACGGCCTCGCAGAAAACCGGCGTGCAAAAACCACGGCGTTGTGTTTAGCCGTGTTAGTGAGGTTACCAGATGCCCTTCCCCTTCCCCAATCCCTCCTCAATCCCTAAATCTCCAAATTCCTTAATCCCTAAAAGGTCGGCAATGCACTTGTAACTCCTTCGTTGCGGGTGTCCATGGGCGGCGCTGATTGCTTACCATCAGGTAATCCGTCTGCTTGTTTGCCGACCTATTACTTAAAAAAAAAAAACTCAACAACGCGTGGACCAATTATTTAGCTAATTCTTTTTTTATTTTGTTACTATTTTCCGATGAAGTTTCCTACAAAAGAAAATTTAAGAAACCTAGAGAGCTGAACCATGAAGTACCGACACTTTTGTTGTTAATAAAATAAAACCATTAATCTTGAACATAGATAAAAATAAACAACTACAATAAAAAAATACAGTGCAACAAGGGGTCCACCCTTTCTGCACTTTATTTTTTACGTAGTTGGATAAACGAGTAAAGCTGGGGACAGTCGCAAGTTATAAAATAAAAAAACAACTATGATATAAAGTTTTTATCACTTAATGTGAAACATTGTAAGCGTGATATTATTTGTCGTTCGCCGAACTGACCTATGTCAAAGTCAAGTTCAGTCACGTTGAACTAAATTTTAGGTACAAAATTTATCTCGAACATAATACAGACATAATAATATTATTGAACAAAATACATTCATAACTCGATAACTAAACTTTCCTTTCTCATTAAAGAGATATCAAAACAAAAGAGTATTGTACGAATATCAGGAATAATCTATTAAACTCGTCATTTAGTAATTAAGGGGATAGGCAGAAGAAAATATGAACCTTCAATAAACCATCATAAACTCACCGTTGAATGTGCGGAAAGAATAACAAAGCGAGATCTAATTATACTGGTTGTGTATAGCTTAATGGGTAGATAGTGCAGTGTACAGTGTGACAATCACTGTTCATCAGAAATGTATGTTATGGGTATTGTGTATTATAGGGGGTTATTATTATTTAGAATGTTGGTTAGCTCGTAAGTGGGTGATTCTTCACATCAATTAAAAAAAATTTAATAATGTCATTATCCTCAACCGAAAATTAACGAGTCTGCTGATTAAAACACAATTATTTTATTAAATTAAATCTCACCACTGCTTACAAGCAACCGATTAAAAATATTGTATAAAATAAATTACTAAGATGCTTAAAAACCTGGGAGGATAATGACTTGTTAAATAAAAGTTAAGGTTTTTTGGAGAATCAGCCAAGTGGCTAATGTATATGACCTACTACCAATAACCAATACTTTTAACCACTTTGTATACAAAAGCTGTGAGCCTACCTTATAATAAATAAATAGGGGGTAATTATTTTGTCATATATGTAGATATGAGCCCAGGAAAGCCTACAACAAGGCTTTCCTTAAAGTAATATTTGGCAATTACATTATAATTGACTTTGTATAAGTACATAAGCTATGAGCCTACCTTATTATAATAAAAAAACTTCAAAACCAAAGTTTGAATTAGACTAATTCATTCACGTTCATTTCGTTAGTACGTAGTTCTATTATTAACAATTTATACACCTTTGAACTACATGTTTTTTTTACCTGTTTAAGAATATTTTCATTTTAGTATTACCAACCAGCCAGTGTTGCTGCCCTTGTCACTTTGAGCATGACGTCACTGACTTTTTATTTTAAGAGCAATTTAATAAAATAGGAGGAGATAGCAATATTATGTTGCTGTGTGACGTCATTTTCGTGTCAATTGTTTTTTCTGTTTCAGACACTCAGAATACAGAACAAGTATTCTGAGTTCAGACATTAGTACTATTATCTTTTCAAACCAAAACTTGTATCGCTACCGTATCTTGCAAAAGGTATGGAAGAAGAGTTTATAAAAAAGGTAAAATAAAATTGTTACAAACAAAGGAGTATTTTTAATTTTCATTAATGGTGTTGACATCATAATTACTTTTCCATAATTGCTGTTAACTGCATGCTTGATGTAATGAGGTTGGTCAAACGACTTCT